CCTTATAGATTGTTTAATGTTAACCATGTGATATTTTGAAAGTGGGATTTGTTAGGTGGTTTTACATTTCTTTGTGCTTTTCTGTATTTAGCAAATTTTCTATAGTGAGTATGTATTTTGTCTGTAATTGGGGGAAAAAACCCAACTAACCCACTGTTTTGAAAACATGTCTTTTATTCCTAGAGTGAACTTCAGCTATAAAAAGTATACTGAGAGGTGGGAAATGGGCCTCTTCTTCCACCAACCCAAGTCAGAAGGAGGTGGAGAGAAAATAGACCTAAGTACAAATATGACTAACATAACTTAGTCCCATTTAAAACAGTCTCATATAATGGGATTCTTGCTTCAGCCATATGTTCAGCCTTCTCATTTTAGAGGGAATTTCTGGCAGTCCAATGTTCTGGGTGGGGAGTGAGAGATAGAGGAGGGTACTACAAGGGAACACGCCTTCTTGCAACTTCAACCTGGATAGATTTAGCCATCTAATCCTGACACCTTAAAAGGCTATCAGGGGATTTCCCTGGTGGTCCAGAGGATAAGACTGTACTCCCAAACAGTACTCTGATCAGCAGTACTCTGATCAGGGAGCTAGATCCCAGTGAAGCCAAATAAAAATAAATAAATAAATAAATAAATAAAAGGAAACGTTTTTCAAAGGAAAAACTGAGGGCTCAGAAATATTCTCTGGCACTTTTCAACAGCTTGAATTCCATAGTTGGACTGCCTCACTGAGCACGTTCTAGTTTATAAGGGGTGATAAATCACGTATCATTTCACACTACCGTAGTAGAGGGTCTTGTGCACTAGGAGCCCTCTTTTCCTTTTTCAGGGACCCACTCTCCCCACATGGGAAAATGTAGTTTGTGAAACTAGAGAAACTGATTCACACCTTAAGTCACTCAGTCGTGTCCGACTCTTTGAGGCTCTGTGGACTGTAGCCCAGCAGGCTCCTCCGTCCATGGGATTCTCCAGGCAAGAAAACTGGAGTGGGATTCACAAAGAAATAACTGTCAAAGTTCCTGAAGGCCAGACAAACAACAAGACTAGCAATTTCGGTCTTCCAGTGATTACAGTAATTAAGCTTCGGAAGAAACTCCTCCCTTCCTTCCCCAGTCAACCCCACCCCTCTGCTGCTCCCATTACTGTCCTCAGTTTTTGTGCAAGGCCAAAGAATTCCAAAAATGGAATTTCCTTCCTTTTCAGGAACCAAAAGTAAACATTTGCTCTAAATCCACAATATAACCCATTTTCCTGAATGACTACTAGTCTTTAACAATAATCTCAGCCTGTGGGGTTAGAGGTGGAAGCTGGGAATTTTTCCAGGTGGTTGAGTATAGAAAATAGGATTATCACCTACAAAATTAGGAGTTGACTAAAGGGACTCAATCTCAAGGCTCTCTCTCCTGTCTTTCATTCCCACCTACAAACCAGAATCATTGGACTTATCTGCAAGAAATCTTTCTAGTTTCTGTAATACACCTCTTCATCATACAGATGAAGAAGTTGAGGCTCACAGTTCTTAACAGTCCTTATCACAGCCCCTGGCACCCAGTAGGTACTCAGTGACTATTAGCTCTGTGTGTGTGTGTGTGGTGTGTGTGTGTGTAAGTGTTTATTTATATGACTGCATCAGGGATATTTCATTGTGGTGCACTTACTCTGTAGTTGTGGCAAGCGGGCTCAGTAGCTGCAGCAGGCGGTCTTAGTTTCTCCACAGTATGTGGAATCTTAGTTCCCTCACCAGGGATTGAACTCTGCATCCCCTGCATTTCCAGGTGGATTCTTAACCACTGACTTTTTTGTTTCTGGCCTAAATTCTTCAAAATGACCAGTCCATACAAGAGTATAAGATTCCCAATTTAAAAACTGTCTTCTTTCCACTTCGTCACACTAAATTATGTAATTCTATTGGGTTATAATAAAGTTATTATAGCCATAAATTTAATTTAGTTTTAACAGCTTTATTGAAATACAATTCACATACTATGTAATTAAACTGGTCTTCCCTGGTGGTTCATCAGTAAAGAATATGCCTGCAATGCAGGAGCTGCAGGACACGCTGGTTTGATTGCCGGGTCTGGAAGATCCCCTGGAGGAGAGCATGGCAACCCACTCCAATATTGTTACCTGGAGAATCCCATGGACAGAGGAGCCTGATGGGCTACAGTCCATGGGGTTGCAAAAAGTCAGACACAATTGAAGTGAATTAGTACCCAGGCACATAAATAATTAAACTATTTAGTGTACAATTCAATGACCTTTAGTATATTCAGAGTATTAGTATACTGTATGTATTAGTATAGAAAGTGAAAAAAAAGTGAAAGTTGCTCAGTCATGTCCGACTCTGAGACCCCATGAGACCCCATGAGACCCCCATACAGTCAATGGAATTCTCCAGGCCAGAATACTGGAGTGGGTAGCCTTTCCCTTCTCCAGGGGATCTTCCCAATCCAGGGATCAAACCCACGTCTCCTGCATTGCAGGCGGATTCTTTACCAGCTGAGCCAATAATATATATAATTAATATCATAATATAGTATATTATCTATCACCATAATCAATTTTAGAACATTTTCATTAGGCCCAAAAGAACCCCATGCCCTTTAGCATTCACTCTTATTTTCCCTTGTTCCACCAGTCAGCCTGAGGCAACCACTGATGTTTCATGTGGTCCTTTGTGACTGGCTTCTTTTACTCAGAATATTTTCAAGGTTCATCCATGTTGTAATATGTACTTCATTTCTTTTTATTGCCAAATAATAAATATTTCATTACATGCATATATAATATTTTAATTCAAGAATTGATGGATATTTGGCAGAATGTTGTTTTAAACAAATGTGATCACTGAGCTAGCAGAAGCTTAAAATTAGTACATATATGCGTGTGTGCATGCTAAATCGCTTCAGTCGTGTCCAACTCTCCACAACATTATAGGCTGTAGCCCACCAGGCTCCTCTGTCCATGGGATTCTCCAGGCAAGAATATTTGAGTGGGTTGCCATTTCCTTCTCCAGGGGATCTTCCTGACCCAGGGATTGAACCTGTGTCTCTTATGTCTCCTGCATTGGCAGGTGCGTTCTTTACCACTAGCGCCATCTGGGAAGCAATATATAAATATGTATCTCATATATTTCTATGTTGAATTTATACTTAAAGAAGCACACTTACTATTAAGACTTTGTTATAATCTCAGACCTGAAAATCAATTTTTTTCCCGCTAAATTTTCTGATGTGTATGATAGTAGTGTGGAAAGACAAAGTAAAGTCTTGCGCTAAGTTTTTCTGCTCCTCGGACCTCCAGGAAAAAAGAGGCATATATAAGGGTATATATATATATATATATAGATAGAGACAGGCATAAATATAGGTGCCCAAGTAAGAGTCCTTAGGAGAGAAAAAAGAAAAGAAAAAAAAAAGATCCAGAGGAAGATTCTTTCCTGGTTTTAAAATGCGAGCTTTAGAAAAGAAAGGGCATTTGGGGCACATATCCAACTCGCTGATCGGCAAATCTAGGACCTACCCATATACACAAACAATAAGAGGTGACTGCTTGGTGAGGATGTGAAAGGGGGACAGTACAGGCCACAAATCCAGTCACATGTGTCCTTGTCAGGCTTAGTTTTTCACCCCCTTACTGCTTTTATGGGTCTCTGGTTGGGTACAGATTGGGAGACTTTGGAGAACTAGTTCATACTTAGAGAACTTGAACTTGTAAATACCAAATTGAGGGTTTTTATGATCCTGGGAGGTAGCTGACTCCCCACTGAACCGTTCTTTACTCAAATCTTGCCTTCCCTGGCCCTATTCTTACAGGAGTTGAGGCCACAGTATCTTCCGTTACCCGCCGCGGAGATAAGGGGCTTTGGGGTGTATTTTCTGCCCTATTTGCAGCAGTCAGAACACCAGGAAGTGATCCTTGACTCAGCCTGCCCGAGGTTTGGGTGTTGTCATTCCCCACACTTGATTTTCTACCAGAGACCTCACGTACCATCGGACTTACTCATCCTAGTAACTCCACCTCTTTTCTCCTCTACTCTCCACCCCACATTAGCCTGCCCAGCTTAGAGATTAGAGGAAAGGAGGGTGCTTGGTGCCAGGAAATACCACTCTCGCAAGTCGTCCGCGGGGAGAGAAACTCGTGTTCGGGAAAGTGCAAGACTGTGGCGTTTGTTTTACTCTTCTCCTCTGTTTAAGGCTATCCTTACTGTCTTAACCCCAAATAATTCTTTCCTATTCAAGTCCGCCTTGTTACTGAGGCGGACCTTGTCCCCGTTAAGGTTGCTTTCCCTTTCCCTGTTTTCCACTACTCTTGAGTCCGGAATTCTCAAATTCTTAGAACTGTTTTGAGTCCCTGATCTGCCTCCTTCCCGTTCCAGCTGCGTGACCTTGAGTGAACCATTAACTTCTCCAGGCCTACTTTCCCCGTCTGTGAAACGAAGGCCAAAACGTCTACCGCACCAAGCCTGTGATGAGGCCCAAATATGAAAGCCCTTTGTGCGCTGTAAAAAGTAATAAAATGTTAGCTATTCTGGATTGCTAATCACTCTTCCAGAAACCCTCCGTTTCCATTGGGGCTAGCCCCGCAAATCGCGCCAGGGGTGGGTACTTCTCACCACCCTCCTATCGCAGTCTTTCCCATTGGCTTACACGACGTCCGCGCGGCGCCGAGTATTGACGTAAAGCCGCCTCCGCTGGCGCAGGGTGCTGCATTGGCCCCGCCCCCGACCGCGCCTGGCCTCCTGCGGGGTCCCGCCCTACGGGCCGACACAGGCGGATCCCGCCCCTTCAGTGACGTGTGGCGCGCGCAGCCCGGCCGCCCCGGCAGTTGGTGCAGCGGCGGTTGGGCTGAATACGCTCGCTTCACCCCTCCCCTCCTCCGGCTTGGGCCCCCACCCCGCCGGGCCCAGCCCCAGCTCCAGCCGCAGCGGCCCCGTCCCGTGCGGGCCCGTGTCGCCCCCTCAGCCGGAGACGCCCCCGGCCGGCGGGCAGCCCGCCACCATGGAGCTGGAGGATGGTGTGGTGTACCAGGAGGAGCCCGGCGGCTCCGGGGCCGTGATGTCGGAGCGGGTGTCCGGCCTGGCCGGCTCCATCTACCGCGAGTTCGAGCGGCTCATCGGGCGCTACGACGAGGAGGTGGTCAAGGAGCTGATGCCACTGGTGGTAGCCGTGCTGGAGAACCTGGACTCGGTGTTCGCGCAGGACCAAGAGCACCAGGTGGAGCTGGAGCTGCTCCGGGACGACAACGAGCAGCTCATCACCCAGTACGAGCGAGAGAAGGCGCTGCGCAAGCACGCAGAGGAGGTGAGGCCGGCCAGAGGGGAGGGTGAGGGCCGGGCCCGAGGGCCGGGGGGTCGCGGTCCGTCTCGGAGGGGAGGCGCCCCGGCCTCCTTGGGGGAGGCCTAAGTCCGAGGCTCGTCGGAATGAGCCTGGCGGCAGAGAGGCCCCAGTACCCCCGGCCAGCATTGGACGCCCAGGGAGATGGGTGAGTGTCCTGGAGAAGAGAATAAGATGAGGGAAGCAAGGCCTGGGGAGGAAGCCACAGCCTGGCCTGAGGGCACCTGGGGTTGGCTGAGAGCGGTATTTTAGGATATCTGCTTGTCTCTTGTAGTTTAGGGAAGTTTCCGACCACCGTGGGGTAGTCAGACGGCGTTTCAAACTTTTACCTTGGGGTGGTGGGTGGAGCGCCTTTAAAAAACTGTCCTGGATATGTAACTTCCGCTGGTTCCAGTACCTTTCCTGGGGGTTGCTGCTTTGGGAAGTTAGATATCTTCCTCTTTCGGTCAGTTTCTTGATATTTTAACCCTACTGAGGGAGTTTTATTTTATGTGTTATGTGCCTTGGTTGATACTTCGTTGACACTTAGATGTTGTATGGGAATACTCTGTAAATATGGAGAGTATACAATTTTATTTTATTGGAATGCACATCAGTGCATTCTTCCTTGTCAGGTGGTAACCTTGGACAGTTCCCTTTAAAAACTATTTATAAAAAGGATGGGGAAGTGGTAGGGGGCTGGTTAAGGAGGTGTGGGTGACAGTTGGCAACTCTTTTCAGAGACTGCACTTGGCCAGCTTTTAACTTTATAAAACCTCAGCTTTTAACTTTAGTGACCTCGGTGCCCCAGCCTTGACGCTGAACCTTTTGGAGCTTTGGAGTGCACGTGATAGATCTTTAACTTCTTGAGGCAGTCAAGGATTCTAGCTTTCAGGATGTGTTGGCATTATTTCTGTGGAATTTATCTGATGCAGGTGAAGTGTCTATTCATCTTTGCTTCCTGAGCATCTAGCAAACCTGGCTAAATATATGGTGACAGAAGGAAGCTAAATAACTAATTATTGAAGGAGTGACACACTGTCTTTCAGAAATACTTGAAAAATTTTAACGATGTGCAGCTCATTTCCTGACACTAAATAGTACCACCATTTAAACTTTTTTTTTACTTAATACCTTTGTACAAGGTCAAATAGTTTTTTTTCCCCTTAAGTTTGACTGCATGATGCTTTTTAGTTCTGATTTTGTGATACATTTGTCTCAAAGGGATGCTATTGAATTTGCCAAACAAAACTGACTTTATTTCAAAAGTATTTCCAAGTATATATGGAAGGAAAGGTTGAAAAAGGAAATCTAGGATGAAATCACAATTTCCACTAGTTTACTAGCACCTTTTATGGAATGGAGCTTATGTACTACTCCTGAGATGACTTGCCATGTCTTCATGCTCAGAGAGGCCCTTGCTATTTTATGGATGTACATGAGAAGACTGTGGAATTAACCAAATATACACACAGGTGAGGAACAGACCCAGCATGACTTTATTATCACAGATAAAAGAAATTGTTGGACGTCCCTGGTGGTCCAGTGGTTAAGAATCTGCCTGGAAATGAAGGGGACGGAGGTTTGATCTGTGTTCTGAAAACATTCCACATGGCGTGGGGCAACTAAGCCTGTGCACTTCACAATCAGTGAAGCCCACATACCCTAGAGCCTGTGCTCTGCAACAAGAGAAGCCACTGCAATGAGAAACCTGCACACTCCGAGGAAGAGTTGTCCCCCCTCACCCAGCTCGTTGCAACTAGAGAAAGCCCACACACAGCAGCAAAGACCCAGTATAGCCATAAGTAAATAAATTAATAATTTTAAAAAGCAAGAAATTACTCCCATCAGCCTTACACTCCTGTCAGTCCATGTAAACATGGGCAAAATGCCAGGGTCACACATGCCAGAAAAACCATCTGCCACAGGTTGCAGAATCAGAAAATACAACTGACTAAGCTGCTAGACTCTGGGTTATATATTAATTTCTTAAGTAAATGACATGTAAAAAGTAGATCTCCAATGACTTCTTTTGTAATTTATGCTTTTTCAAATACGCCGGTAAATTCTCTGTAATGAAATATGACCTGAGACTAAGAACGCTGATGGCTAGATGACCACAAACATAAAGTCATCTTATTACCAGTTTTCATATAAGGTCATAGATCCAGTTTTACCCAAGTGCTCAGCAATTCAGTCTCTCTTAGGTAAATATGCAGAAATGATTCTGTGTTTAATTTTCTTTAAGTTTTGTGACCTTTAAATAAGAAATTTAATCTTTATTATAATGATATTACTCAATTTGAATACATTCTATCTTTTTCTTTGCTTTTATTTGAATTTGTTGTGAGGAGTTAAACTGCTGGTTTTGAGTCTATAAAAACAATCTGAAGAAGGGCTGATTTTATATAGATTTACAACCAGCTTCAAATGCTAGTCAAGAAATCTCATTTTATAGCTTACCACTCTCCCCTTTGGGCTCCCTGCTCCAGCCATATAGTCAAAACTGTGATTTTTCCTGTAGTGATATATGGATGTGAGAGCTGGAAGGCTGAGTGCCGAAGAATTGATGCTTTCAAATTGTGGTGCTGGAGAAGACTCTTGAGAGTCCCTTGGACAGCAAGATCAAACCAATCAGTCCTAAAGGAAATCAACCCTGAATATTCATTGGAAGGACTGATGCTGTGGCTCTAATACTTTGGCCACCTGATGCGAAGAGTGGACTCAGTAGAAAAGAACATGATGCTGGGCAAGGGTTGAGGGCTTGAGGAGAAGCGGGTGACAGCGGATGAGATGGTTGGATGGCAACAGTGACTCAATCAACTTGAATTTGAGCAAACTCCAGGAGATAATGAAGGGCTGGAAAACCTGGCATTTTGCGGTCCATGGGGTTGCCACGAATTGAATATGACTTAGTGACTGAACAACAACAATGTATATTTAAAATATTTATTTATTTGTCTGTGCCAGGTCTTAGTTGTGGCACACAACATCTTTGACTTCACTGAGGCATGTGGGATCTAGTTCCCTGACCAGGGATGAAACCCTGGTCCCCTGCATTGGGAGCATGAAGCTTTAGCCACTGGACTACCAGGGAAGTCCCCAACCATATATATTTTTTTTCATTTAACCAAGTACTGTCTGATGCCTTTGCCCCCTTGGCCTAGAATACTTTTCCCTCAGAGCTTTATCCTGACTAGCTCCTCACTTTTGACTCAAATTTCGCTTCTTCAGCTCAGCATTTCCTGTCTACTCTATCCAGAGTAAATGTTGTGAATCTATGAATCACTGTTAAATCAGTGATTAAAAAAAAATTCACAAGTTGTGTGGCACGGACCAAAAAAAAAAAAAAAAATCTGGAGAGAGATGTTATTCTTGGGAAGAATATGTTAGTGTTTTTTATGTTTTTGTTTGTAAGTTCTGATTCTTTTAGAATAGACATGATTTGTTTTGAGTAATTAAAAAAAATTTCCCTGAAATAGGCAAATGAATTAAAGAAAACTTTTCTTAAGAAATTCATTTTAAAAAACTTTTTATTGAAATATAGTTGATTTGCAGTGCTGTGTTAGTTTCAGATGTATAGCAAAGTGATCCAGTTATACATAGGGAATTTAGTTTTAAAGTCAGAGTTTAGCATGATTGACTGAAGGGAGGTTGCACATAAAAATGAAGATGTACCCTCATCCTCCTTGAGTGGTAGAAGCATATATGAGGACAATGTCTTTGCTAGCAAGAAGATGTTGTGATTATATGATTTTTAGAACTGCTTTTCTGTGGGTTTTTGTCTAAAATGGAGTGATTAAATGCATAGGTGAGGGATATTACTGAGAATTTTCTAATTAACTTTTTCCCAATGAATCAGCACTTAAAGCAGTAACAATTGATGTTTTATATGAAGACTTACGGGCTTCCCTGGTAGCTCAGCAGGTAAAGAATCCACCTGCAATGCAGGAGACCCCAGTTCGATTCTTGGGTCGGAAAGATCCCCTGGAGAAGGGATAGGCTACCCACTCTAGTATTCATGGGCTTCACTGCTGGCTCAGATGGTGAAGAATTCACCTGCAATGCGGGAGACCTGGGTTCGATCCTTGGGTTGGGAAGATCCCCTAGAGGAGGGCATGGCAACCCACTCCAGTATTCTTGCTTGGAGGATCCCCATGGACCGAGGGGCCTGGCGGGCTGCAGTCCGTGGGGTCGCGGAGAGTCCGACACGACTGGGCCACTAAGCACAGCACATGGAGACTTGTAATCAGGTTGTTTTCTTGGGAAGTCTGTGCAAATGAGCGGGAACAATAAGATTTGTGGGCAGGAAAGCAGACGTAGATACCGGTTTTTTAAAATTGATGTTGTAGTTCTCATTCTTTGATAAAAATATATTGTTTTTTAAAATTAAAATTTATTCATTGAGGCTGTGCCTGGTCTTATTTGCGTCATGCAGGATCTGTAATTGCAGCATGTGGGATCACACTCCTTAACCAGGGATTGAACTAAGGCCCCCTGCATTGGGAGTGAAGAGCGTCAGCCACTGGACCACCAGGGAAGTCCCCATAAAAATATTTTAATCAAAAATGCTAAGGAAATTAATTTTTGTTTGTGAAATAATTTACAGTGAAAGTTAACTTCTTCAGTAAACACTTAGAAAGGATTATTTGAAGTCTTTTCAGTTCAAGATAGGAGTGAAGAGTAATTTTGAATACTTTAGCTTATATTTGTTGAGGACTTAGGATCTTAAGAGTAGAAATTCCATATTTGCTTCAACATTAAGTTTATTTTGTTTCTTTGGCAGAGTTGTTATTTGAATTGGTATTTATGATGGTTCTTTAGTTTTAATTCTATTACTCTGGTATCAAAAGAATTTAATTTGCTATTAATTTGGGAATCCCCTGGTTGTCCAGGGTTAGAACTCTGAGTTTCCACTGCAGGGGCATGGGTTTGATCCCTGGTTGTGGAGGAGGGAGGGACTAAGAACCCCCATACTGCACAGTGAG